GGGGGGGGGGGGGGGGGGGGGGGGGGGGGGGGGGGGGGGGGGGGGGGGGGGGGGGGGCGTACTCATGTTCTTGAAGCCTTTGTGGGTGGACAATTGGCCGTGCGGCCTCGAGAGGGTGGATCATTGTTTTGACGTAGGGACCGATTATCGCCGACGGCCAATCGTTCTGTCCTAATTTGGCCAAGGGTGGCTTGAGAAACGTTTCCCCTACCCCGAGGGTTCTCAATTCGCAAGGGGTTGTTGTTGTTGTTGTTTCAGTCTAGCAGTAGGGGGCACTACTATAGTATCAGGCCCTTGATGTTTTTTGGTTCCGCGTGCGCGCATTGGATCACCGTCGTAAGGTCATCGCCCGCAGCCCCCAGCACCAGCTGATGCAGAAAGCGCTGCTGGTCGTTTATTTCGTGAACATGCCGAGACATCTTCGCCGGCGTTCGTGGGTCATGAGGACGAATGCGCGAAGAGGCGAGCTGTGGTGTGTATGCATGCGTGTTTTCGCTTCCTGAGTTGGCGTCGGCCTCACCGACTGGCCGGCCAATGAAATGATCTCGCTCTTCGTTGCTGTTGCTTGGGTTGTGCAGAACATGCGCCTGGGCATCGACGCCGTGGGGGCTGCGGGGGGCATCGTCGAGGCTGCCGTGTGCTACACCGGGGACATCTTGGACCCTTCCAGGTGATGATGATCTGCGTTAAGACACTGCCACGGTGATAAGAACCAGCTAGAGCCGTCATTGGTCTCTGAAGTCCGCTTTTCTCGTAGTTTTGTGGTGAAGCCAACCTTTGCCCTTGTGGGGGCTGCTCTTGTTCCGTGTCCCCGTTAGACAAAGGGAAAAGAAACGGGATCATTGGGTGGGGTTACGGAGCTCTGCAGGCCGCGCTGTACAGCTGGCTTTTCCGACTGCTGTGTTTTTCTTGTTTTTGTCGCACGGCTCAAGAAGTTGAAAAGGTGCTGTGGGTGCTTTTTCAAGCCCCTTTGCTACTGGTTCGTGGTCCACGCACCGAAACACAGGAACTAGCATACATCCCACTTTTTTTGTGGGTGCTGGTCGACATCTTCACGCCAATGCTGTGTGCCTCTGCTGCGTCGCTTGTTGTAGTTTTTTGTGGTTATGCTCCAACACCTGTGATTCTTGTCGGTTCACTTGTTCTTGTCGTCTTTTTGTGTGTCGATGTGTGCTCCCCTCCGCTGGTTGTTGCATTTTTTTATTTTTGTCCTCCCTGCAGAAAGAGTTGCTTGGTTTTACTTTCTTTTTTCTTGTGTGTTCCCTTCTCTTCTCCCTTCTTCTCGTCGGTCCTTATCCTTGCAGCGAGCAGTACAACCTGGACTACTACCTCAGCTTCACGAGGCAGCTCACCGACCTCGGCATCCACGTGCTGGCCATCAAGGACATGGCAGGCCTTCTCAAGCCCGAGGCGGCCACCGTGCTGGTGAGGCAGTCTATAGCTGCAGGCGCGGACTCCTCTTGGGGGCCCCGTAAACCCCGTAGCCCCGTAGAACGAGATGGGCGGGCGGGGGGCGTTGCTTGGTTCGTGTGCGGTGGGATATGGCGGTGTGTTTTTTTTTTTCGCAAGGGTGAAGGGTTTGATGAACGGAACGACGCTGGTGTTTGCAACACTTAAGATTGATGTATTCGATGTTTAGTCTCTTTGTGCAGGACACGACAATACCCTCTGTCGGAAACTGTACTAGCTCCCTTGCAGCGCCGGTGCTGCTGATGAAGAACTGTGCTTCGTCGTCCGTTGCTGTGTCTGTTTGCTTTCCGTTTTCCGTTGTTTGTTGGTCTGTTTGCTTACGATTGTTGCAAGCGTGGGCGTTAACTTTGCTGAAAAATTCTTGAGTGGTGGTTGCGGGTGGAGAGGAGATTCGCGCATGGAGTCTCCTCTAAAGAGCTGAGTTCTGGGTAGTACGTTGTGTACCAGCAGCGTCGGTTCCGGTTTGGACCATGATTGAAGCGACTGTCTGGCTGTGTTCCCCGGTCCTGTTCCTACTCACTCGAAGTTCTTGTTTTGGTTTGGTTTACACGTCTGGCGGTGTGGGTGCGGGGCGAAAGATGGCTACAGCAGTACGTGTGAGTTTTTCTCCAGAGTTGGTTTCCTCTCTCTACCCGGGATTCAAAAACAGTCTGGCTGTGCTGACTGTACCCCCACCGCCGTTGCCCTTCCCCACCCGACTTGCGTCTCCATGGTTGGTTTCCTTTGTCGACCCGCGATTGAAAGAGTCTCTGACTGTGATGGCTCTTCCCCCGATGTCGTTTCTCTCCCTCACCCGACGGGCGTTATTCGTTGGTGCAGGTGTCGGCTCTTCGACGGGAGTTCCCGGACCTGCCGATCCACGTGCACACGCACGACACCGCGGGGACCGGGGTTGCCTCCATGATCGCGGCCGCACACGTAAGCGACTAAACAACAGCAACCAAGAGGAGCACCGTAAAAACGAAATCATGATAAACACTGCTGTAGGTGCGACATTGTATGGGTAGGGCTATGAATAGGTTTATTATGAGGGGGGCGGGCAGGGGGTTGATGTACGATGCAGTTTTATTTTCTATTGAATATGTTGCCGTTCTTTGTTGTTGGCCTTGCCAAGCGGCAAGACGGCCCCTCGCTGTCCATCCCGCCCACCCTTGGTTTCACCGGCTGGTGTCCGGTGTCTGGGTGCAATATTTGGATTGCGTTCCAAGGTACACCAAGCTGTAACGGCCTCCCTGCCCTCGTTGTCGTTTTGGGCGGTCTACCCCGACGCTGTGTTTCATCTTTTTGTCGGGCATGTCGCCATTGCTGTTTGCCCTTCGACTCGCATGCTCCTCTCTCCAACGTAGACTATCCTAACTCTGCCCGTCCTTTGTCGGTGTTGCCGTACACCTTTGGACGTACATGCTCCCCTTTCACTGCTGCTGTTGCTCGTTTTTCGTCGGTCTCATGTCGTCGCCGTTCCTATTTTCCCACTTTACGTCCACATCTACAAACCCCCAACCCCAAAACACTCCAGGCCGGTGCGGATGCAGTGGACGCGGCAATAGACGCCATGGCCGGCACCACCTCGCAGCCCAGCATGGGCGCCCTGGCTTCCTCTCTCGCGCGGTCCCCACTCGACACGGGCCTCGATATGGACGAGATCACCAAGGTCAGGAGCAAAGCTTCACCTGCAGCTTTGCCGCAGCCTGCAGCTTTGCCGCAGCCTGCAGCTTTTCCAGCAGCTAATGCAGCAGCAGCGGCAACACCAGTAGTTGCAGCGTTGCGTGTTTTTTTTTTCGCTCGGTTGCGGCGGCACCAGATTCATGGCTAGGCGTCTTTGCTGCTTGCGGCAGTTTTTTTTGTTTCGTGTGGGTTGAATAGGATCGCCAAGGTCAGATGTATAAATGCATGTGTTGCATGCACTACGTGTCACTCGATTTCACCGCCACGACAGGGGTCAGACAGCAAATACTCAGCCGGCCCTAAAGAACCCCCGTTCCCACCACCTTCTCTGCATGAAGGCGTGTCGGCTCACGACGACTGTTCTAAATTTGCATTACTTCACGGCTTTGTTCCCGTGTACTCGGTATGCCAAAGGTGAACGACTATTGGGAGGAGTGCCGCGGCCTGTACGCGCCGTTCGAGAGCGGACAGAAGTCGGGATCCGCGGACGTCTACAACCACGAGATGCCCGGTAGGCAACCTCCCCTCCCCTCCCCACTTCACGGCGGTAAATTACCGGCACGTCTTGCTGCCGAATAAATATACACTTTTGCAAATTTCATGAGCATGAAGGTGAATCGTTCCCTTTGCCGCCCCGCCGTCGCCCTGATGTTCGCCTTACGAAGCAGGGGGGGGGGCACACGGGCCTTCTTCTCGGAATGGAAGGCATTTGTGACGATGCGCATGCCCTCCTATCCTCCCCACTTCATTCTTTTCTTAGTTTCTGTACTCTCTCCCGCTCCTTCTCTGTCTCCCCCTTCTTCTTCTTTTCCTCTATCTCGCTCACCTTCTCTCTCCTCCGATTGTGTGCGTGCTGTTTTCGCCGCCTCCGCTTGTTATTTTTTTTAGGGGGACAGTACACGAACCTTCTGTTCCAGTCCCAGCAGCTGGGCCTCTCGGGGAGGTGGCCTCACATCAAACGTGCCTACGCCTCGGCCAACCGTCTTCTCGGCGACATCATCAAGGTAGCGTACAACAATAGAAGCTCCTTCCCGTGGCGAGACATGCTTTTGTCCGCGGAAGGGCATGTGTTGGGGGACGGACACATGCGTCTCGGTTGTTGTTGTTTGTGCAGCTTGGTCGGTTGCTGCTGTGCATGTGCTCCTTTTGGCTGCTGTTGTGGCATTTCGCTCTCCAGTGGCACGTTTCCGCGACGTCGACTTCCGCCCACCGCTTCGACGTTCCTTCCTTGCGTCAAGTAGGCGCGAACGCACGCATGACAGGGCCTTGCGCAAGAAGCAGGGTGCGTACCACGTTGTGGCCATCAGCCTGCGCATATATGCCGGTGACTTGTGTGAAATCTCGGCTCTGGGGGTCAATTTGTTTTCTTGTTTTTGAATAGATGCATCCCCCCCCCCCCCCCCCCCCC